AGCTCTTCGGCAGCGCCTTCGCGGAGCAGGGCTACGATTGCGTCCAGCTGCTCGCGGCAGGCGGCGCCTCTGTGCAGGCGAGCTCGTCGCGAGGACGTGTCCAGGACGCGTCTAGAAAACCATGAAACGTCCGTGGGCCTTGTGCAGGTGGGCATCCGCGGCATGTCGACTGCAGAGGCGGGGACGCCTCCCGTCTCGATGCCACTCGGCTCAGGCGGCGCGCAGAGGGGCTTCCTCGCAGACGTGGCGGCGGGCAAGGTGACGCGAGCGGCGCTCGACGATGGCCTCTCTCTCGACGCTGCCGACGCCGCCGGCAGGGCGGCCAGCGACGCTATCCTCGCCGGCAAGAGAGACAATGAGGCAGAGGCGATCGGCCAGGAGGCCGGCAAGGCAGCCCAGAAGGCGTCCTCGAGCCCGCAGGCGCTGGACGCGCGCCTCAAGTCCCTCGGTTCGGCGCGCCTCAGCGCGTCAGAGGCGACGGTCCAGGGCGATAGCGGCGGCTTCGGCGGCAGCAGCCCGGGAGAGTCTGCACCGCCCTGGCCATCGAAGGAAGGGTCGTACGCCCGGCTGCGCCGTTTGATAGACGCGCACGGGCCGCTGCTGCTCCCTTTTGCGCCGATCCGCGGCGGTGTGCTCGCCATGTCGAGCTTCGCCGACGTCGCCGAGTTGGGCTTCGCGGAGCGGTGGCTGTCGGTGGAGGAGTTGCGGCCGCTTGTGCGGCAGACGCTCTGCGAGGTGCTGCAGCAGGAGGGGCCCGGTTGGGACAAGGCCGTCGAGAAGTGGGGCGGGCACCGCTTCTGGGCAGAGTTCCCCGAGCGGCTATGGTCAATCGGAGCGGCTGGCCTGCTCCGCCTCTCCGCCCTCCTCGACACGCCCGGCCTCTTCGACCCGAGCGCGAGCTTTTACTTTAGCTCCGAGGCGCCGCCGCTGCAGCCCTCCTCGACACGGCTCGAGAAGGGGTTGGAGTGGCTGCCGCCGCGCTTGGAGTGGGTGTTTGGGAAGTGCGTCTCCGGCTGCCTCAGCTTGGCAGTTGTGAACCGTGCCGTCACCATGCGGATGTGAACAGGTTCCTCTCTGACGTGCAGTTGCGGCGGGCGCGGACCGAGCTGCTCGAGTTGCGCGACAAGATGGCCGCGGCGCGCACTCTCGTGGCCGAGCTCACGCCGACGTTCAACCCTACCAGGCGCAGTGGGCGCTCTGCCACCCCGCCTGCGACGCGCAGCCGTCTCACCCCCTCTCGCCTCCCTCTCAGCCGCACCGGCTACCTCCGCTCGTTGCGCGACTGCATCGGCGACCCGCCTGACGAGTACAAGACCGGCTGGAAGGAGGAGTGGGTGGCGCTGCGGGCGGAGCAGTACTTGCGCTTCACCGAGGGCCTCGCCGAGTCGTCGAAGAGCCCGCCGCCCGCCCGCCCCCGCGTCTCTTCCGGCACCGAGCCGTCTACGACGTCGCTCCAGGAGCGCTCTCTGAGGGAGCGCTCGTCGCAGCGGAGAGAGGAGCGGGGCACCAAGGAGTGGGTTGAGCGGCACAAGCCTCTCCCAAAGGTGCTGCAGAGGTTCGATAGCGCCATCCAGGAGAGTGTCGCCAGCGGCATGGAGCGCGAGCACGCGGAGACGTACCACGCGCTGCAGTCGGTCAAGGGCGCTCTCGGCGCAGCGATGCGCGAGGGGCGAAAGGACTTTGCCTGCTCCACCTACGCCCTCTGCGACGCCCTCCACGCAACCTTCCGCAAGCAGCAGCAGGACTGGCAGCAGAAGCAGGCAGTGCGGGCGGCGGTGGAGGGCGACTCCGACGGGCCGTTTGCCGATTCGGTGCTGCCGCCCCTGCTCTACACGAACTTGGAGGGCAAGTATGGCTTGCAGGAGGGCGACGCGCGCTGGCGCAACCTCCGCGCGCCCGACGAGGCGGGCTTCCGCGGGCTGCTCTCCGAGACGCTGGTGAGGGCGAACGACCGGGTCGATTGCTTCAGCGAGGAGGGCTACCGCGTGTACGCCGACGGCGCGCGTTCCAACGGTCGACGGCCCAGGCGCGCGGGCCGGTCTCGCAGACCCTTGTCGGGCCTTTCGTGTAGGCGCGTTTGTGGCGGTGGACGGCCCGATTGTGTGCTTCGAGGCAGCGGAGAGCAATTTGCAGGGCGACCATTCGCCCGTCATCATCAAGCAGATCACGGTCGAGAAGCCCCGCCTCTCTCGCCGCTCCACCCCCTCCCGCAAGGACATGTCTGTGGCGTCGCCTGTCTCGGCGGCCTCGCCTCTCTCGGCCAGCTTCGGCCCGATCGGAGAGAAGCTGGCGGCGGTGAGCGCGCCTCTGCTCGCCCGCTTCTCGTCGGCGTCGGCGTCGGCCGACAGGCGGTCGTCGTCCTCCGAGCCGCCGGAGCCGCTCTCTCGCCGGGCAAGCCTCTCACTGCGGCAGCAGACCTCGGGCGCTTTCCCGCCCAACACGCTCTTCCGGCTCAAGGAGATCAAGCCCGCGGGCAGCTGGCTCGCGCCGGACGGAGAGACGAGGCCAGGCGTCGACCTCCTCGTCGTAACGGCGACCTTCAAGGCGCTGAGCATGGAGGCAGCACCGACGAGGCGGTCCGAGAGCCCCCCTCACCTCGAGATTGCCCGAGGTTAGGCGCCGAGCGTGGCGAGCACTAGCGCCAACGGCGGCAAGATGGCCGATCTCCCCGTCTCGCTGCAGTATGCGTCGCGCCAGGCGTTCGTCAAGGGCCTCGACGACATCATCACACGGCCGCTGCTCACTCTGGAGCAGGAGTTCACGCGCGACTACGCGTGGACCGACTACAAGGGCGCGTCGTACACGCTACGCGAGGAGTGGGAGTATGTCAACGGACCAGCCGTCCCTGCGACAGACAAGACGCCCGGGACGCGTGACAAGGACAACGGTGGCGTGACCCTGCAGCAGTTTTGCGATCGAATCAACGACCACATTGCAAAGCGGCGCGTGGAGCTGAAGGCAGCCGACCCATACGCGCCAATGCCGAGCGAGGCCAACGCGTTTCTCACGCGCGAGGAGGTGCTCGCGGTGCGGCTGTACTCCGGCCCGGCGTACCAGGTTGTCAACCACTTTCTCCGCGCGATCGGCAGCATGTCGTCCTACACTACGGCGATTTCGTACACTACGCCACACCGCGCCGCGGCTCGGCATTCATCGATCACTATCCACCTTTAGGGCGGTTTCCGCCGCATGCTTGCGACGCACCCGGAGGCAACGTACACGGCCACGGTGTCGCACCTCTGCCGCGCGATCCGCAAGCTCTCCGCCATCACGCTGCCCGAGGAGGCGAGCTCTCCGCTGTACCGTGGCGTGCGCGGCGAGCTCTGCCAGAGACCGTGCGGGGCGAGCGAGCTGAACAGCCTCCCTTCACAGGCCTTGCGTGTCAACAGGCGAGCTGCCGGACTCCTTCTGGGTGCGGGGCGAGCTCGGCATGGTCTGTGCCACCGACACCGCGTTCATGTCCACCTCGTGCAACCGCGCCACGCCAGTGCATTACATGGACGAGGCCTGGGCCTTAATAGTCTGTGGAGCCGCTCGGATGTGAACGGCGTCTCTTCACGCTTTTGTTCTGTGGACAGGCGGGCCCCAACGTGCTGTGGAGCCTCCGCCCTTCGCGCGAGACGGACACGGGCTTCCACTACGGCGCCGACATCTCGCTCCTCTCGCAGTTTGCCGGCGAGGAGGAGGTGCTCTTCCCGCCGTGCACCATGCTGCAGGTGGTCGGCCGCCGTAGCGGAGATGCAGCCGAGATGCAGCCGAGATGCAAGCCAAGAGATTAGGATGGGCTCTTCCTCCTCTCCCCGTGCTGCCCGCGCGTCATTCACGCCACCTCGTCTGTGAACCAGGTGATCGAGGCTGCGGACTCGGCCGCCGCTTCGGAGGCGGACGCGGAGGCGCCGCCCTCAAGACGCGCCACGCCGAGGCTGTGAACGGCGCCTCTTCACGGCGGCTGCACACTGTGAACAGGCGTCCGACAAGGCGCACACCGTGGCGGTCAACTCGCGCTTCGGCAACGGCCAGCTCAACTGGGGAGAGCCGCCCCCCGGATTCTTCCCGCCCGCCGAGCAGGGGTCGGCCCCGCGGAAGGCGCGCCCGACGCTCGCCCGCCAGCTGAGCGTGTGGGTGGAGGAGTCTGTGGTGGGCAAGCCGAACAAGCCGAAGGTGGGCTTCTACGAGATCCGCGTCCTGCCCACGTTCGTGTGAGGGAGCGGGCGCGAGCGGCGCGGGCCGGCGCCACTCTTGGCTGCTGGGGATCGGGGTCCACCCACCGCACGGCGTGCCTTGCCGAGACATTATGTTTCACGCCCCTCTCATAGGAATTCCTAGATCCGAGAGACGACGTCGTACGTTACGAGTTTGCATCGTCAACGGTCAACGTGGAACTGGGTTACGTTAAATAAATAAAAACGGACCCCGCCTTTGCGATCTTCTGGGTTCTAGTTGAAACTCGGCTGGCAGTCTGTTTTATCTTCGGTTTAGCCTTCGATGTTATCGGTGGAAAAATCATAAGAATTTTACAACAAAGCTCCCTCGCACGACACTGGGCACGGGACTCACGCCTCCGCCGCCCTCTCCAGCTCCCCCACACCCGCCGCCGCCGCCGCTCACGCCGCCGCCGTCCTCCACCTGAAGGGAAAAGGAAATTTAAGTACCGCGGGTATTTCTTTTGGCGCAGCGTCTTCCCGAAGGCCAGGTTGCTACTCCGAGACGTCGGATAAGCACCAACGGCCAATGCACGAGGGGGTGTCGGTGGAGACTTGTTCACACCGGTATGCCTTGCCCTTTTGGTGCTTCTTAGTAGATTGTGGATGTGTTCACAGTCATGTGTGGAATTTCGGCCTCAAGGAAATTCCTTTTTCTTTGAGAGCGCCTTCGTTGTTAATAGTACAAACCCAATGGTCCTCTGCGAGCGGTCCTTCGTTGCAGACGCACACACGCACTTTTTCTTTTAGACGCGGCGTCTTTTAACACAGTCCTTGCAAAAGGCGATCGCCGAGCACATGTTCGGCTTGTTCGGCGCAAGGCCGGCGGCGGGCGAGGACGAGGCGGCCGCCGAGGCAGAGCCGCTCGGGTCCGGCGCCGAGCGTCCGCCTGGGCGCCCCCCCGAGGCGGAGCCGGGAGGCGAGCAGCTTGCGGCGCAACGCTTGCCGCTTAGCGAGCCGCGCAGCTTCACCTTTGAAGAGGCCGGGCCCCTTGGCATCACGACGGAGTGGCATATCGACGGAGTAGCCATCAAGGCTGTTAAGGGCGCGGCGCTCGAGCAGGGCGTGCCTCGGATGTCCGTTATCCTTGCGCTCAACGGCAGCGATGCGAGTGGGCTCGCTCGTGCCGAACTGCTAGCGATGCTCAAAGTGCGGCCACTAACGCTAACAGTGCGGCCGCCGGCGGACCTGCGAGGCGAGCAGCTGGAGGGGCGAGACCTGCAGGGCGTGACGCTGCCGGAGGCGAGGCTGGCGGGCGCGAACCTCAAGGGATCTGACCTGCGCGGCGCGGATCTCGAAAAGGCGGTGCTGCAGGAGGGGTATGTCCTCGCCCCGCCGGACGTGGAGGGCCTCGGGGGAGCGGCGCTCGGCAAGGCGTGGGAGGCGTGGGGGGGGCGTGGGTGGCGGAGGAGTTATCAGGAATACTTCAAGCCGGCCGAGGAGGGGGCGGAGGAGCGGCGGGCGGCCGTCCTCTCTGGCGCCAAGCTGGCCGGCACCAACCTGCGGGATGCCGACCTGCGTAAGGTGAAGCTCGACAACGTGGAGGGGTCCGAGGGCGTCGTGCTGCTGGCGGTGGAGGGGAAGAAGGGGAAGGAGCTGGGCGAGGCGTGGATGGCGTGGGGCAAGGCGCTGCGGAACGAGCCGGGCGAGTCGGTGCGCGTCGCAAATCTCTACAAGGCGCAGCTGGAGGGGGCATCTCTCACCAGGGCGCAGCTGCAGGGGGCAGATCTCCGCTACGCGCAGCTGCAGGGGGCAGATCTCTACAAGGCGCAGCTGCAGGGGGCATGTCTCATCGAGGCGCAGCTGCAGGGGGCAGATCTCGGCGGGGTGCAGCTGCAGGGGGCAGAACTCAGCGCGGCGCAGCTGCAGGGGGCAGATCTCAGCGAGGCGCAGCTGGAGGGGGCAGATCTCCAAATGGCGCAGCTGCAGGGGGCATCTCTCGGCCGGGCGCAGCTGCAGGGGGCAGATCTCCGCTGGGCGCAGCTGCAGGGGGCAGATCTCTACCAGGCGCAGCTGCAGGTGGCATCTCTCGCTGAGGCGCAGCTGGAGGGGGCACATCTCTACGAGGCGCAGCTGGAGGGGGCAGATCTCCGCTCGGCGCAGCTGGAGGGGGCGAACCTCGAGGGCGCCGACCTGCGCGGCGCCGACCTCACCGGCGCCAACCTCGCTGGCGCCAACCTGAAGAATGCCGACTTGCGCGGCGCAGTCCTCATCGGCGTCAACCTCGAGAAGGCCGACCTCGAGGGCGCCAAACTGCAGGGCGCGAAGTTCGAGCGCGCCGTCCTCGCTGGCGTCAAGCTCATCGGCGCCAAGTTCTCACCCTTCAAGCCGCCCGAGGCGCGCCCTCCGACGCTTGCGCGGGCGTGGCGGCTGCGGGCGGTCGGCGGGCAGGCCGCGAAAGGGCTCTACGCGGCGCTCGCCGGAGGCGATAGCGACGGCGGCAGCGACGACGAGGGGGCGGAGGAGGAGGAGGAGGAGGAGGGGACGGCCACGAACATCGTCGCCAACGCGCTTGAGGCGGGCGTGACGGCTCTCGTGAAGGCAGCGGCGCCGGCGCTCGAGCTCGTGGAGGAGATCATCGGCAAGCTCCGCGCTGCGCTCAACGGCTGCATCGCCGTGCTCAAGGCCGCGGGGGACTGCGACAAGCCGGCAGAGTTTCTCTGCGACGCCACCCGCAAGCTCGTGCGCTTGCTCGTGTCGGAGCTGCTGCAGCCGCTGCTCGCTGTCTGCAGCGATCCTCCCGACTCTTGGGCCTCGCTGCGAGAGGGCGTGCTGCTGAAGCTCGAGCCGCAGCCCAAAGAGCTGCTTGGCAAGCTCGCGGCGTCGATCGCGCCGTCGGTTGAGCCAGAGTCGACTGCCGAGGCCGAGCCGCCGCCGGCGGCGGCGGCGGCAGCGGCGGCGGAGGGGGGCGAGGCCGCGGGTGAGCTCCTCCGAGAGCTCTTGCGCCTGATCGCCGAGGAGGCGACCGCCATGCTGCCGGCACTCGAGGAGTCCGTCGAGGCGGTCGTGTCGAAGACCCTTCAGATGCTGTCATTGCACGTCGAAGACGTCGAGCTCGGACTCGTACGCGATTTCACAGCCGTCGCCGACCGCCTCGAGAAGCATCTCGAGACGGTGCTAATCGAGGAGGGGATCGGCAAGCTCGTGTCCAAGTTCCTGCTCGGCCGCTGCGGCGCTCATTATGCTGTTCCTCTGATTCGATAGAGAGCAAGCGCTGACGATGAACGGAAGTCTATCAATAGGCGCTGTCCTCGAGAAGCTGAGCGACGTCGCCTCCGAGCAGCTGAAGCTGGCGGAGCAGATGGAGAAGACGATCGCGGCGAAGGTCGCTAGTGTTGGCGACGCCGCGAACCAGAAGCTGCTCAAGTTCGTCGGCGGCAAGGGCAGCATCAAGAGCCGCGTCGTCAAGTCCGTCCTCAGCGCCGCGACAAAGTACGAGGTCAGCGCCGGCGGCTTCCAAGGGAGCTTCGACATGCTGCGGCTGGCCCTTCGCCGAAGCCCGATCCAGGCCCGCACCCCCGTCTCTTTGCCCCCCCCCCCTCCCCCGCCCCCTCCCTAATCACACATGCCTCCGATCCGCAGCTCAACGTCGACGACAGCGAGCTGACGTACCTGCTCGACACGCTCGTGAAGCTCGAGGCGCGTGCTGATAGGTTACTCATTTGAGAGAGCACGTCTCCTCCTCACAAACCTCTCCCCCCCTCCCCACTCGGAACAGGCGCTGGAGGTGAAGAGCGACACGTGGAAGGACGCGGCGTCCACCTGGATGTCCGTCCTCGAGCTGCGGCGCAAGATCGGCGTCGAGCGCGGCATCGCCGTCATCGACTGCATCGCGGGCGACCAGAAGGTTCGCTCCACTACTCTCCTCCCGGACGCTCCTCGTTCACAGTCAGTGTCCACTGACTCGGTTGCCCTATTCCGTTCGCTAGGTGCTCGACGCGCTCGGCGCCGCCAAGGCGCTCTTCGACATCGAGGGCGACGCGCCGCCCGACATCTTGGCGCGCCGCTAGACAGAACTCGCCCTCTCTTTGTGACCGCAACAGCGACTGAGAGTGGAACGATTGCCCTACACGGCGCGATCGACACTCAGCCCCTCGTGACAGCGCCGCTCTCGGCCCTCCCTCCGCCTGCAGGCGCGGCTCAGCAAGGCAGCCGGCGGCCACATCCGCGCCAACGGCTACAGCTACCGCAAGAAGATCAACCTCGAGCTCGCGCGCATCCGCCGCGTGCGCGACCTGCAGATGCGCGGCGTGGCGCTCGTCGGGACGGCGATTGCGGCTGCGCTCATCTCGACCTTCAACTACCTCTACTCCGTCGCCGACGGCGTGGAGCCGTGGTGGCTGCCGCCGGCCGTCGTGCTCGGCGTCCTCTGCGTCCTCCTTCCCGCCGCGGCGGTCCTCGTCT